CTTCTTGAATTTTTAAAAATAGTTTGAGGAGAATGGGTATTAGTTCTTTGAATGTTCGGTAAAGTTCTCCCCGTGACGCCATCCGGGCCTGGGCTTTTGTTGCTGGAAGAGTCTTGATTACATCTTCAATTTCTTCTGCTGTTATTGGTCTGTTCAAGTTTTCTATCTCTTCCTGGTTCAGTTTTGGGAGACTATGTGTTTCTAGAAATTTGTCCATTTCACTTAGATTGTCGAATTTGTTGCTGTATAATTGTTCATAATATCTGTTAACAATTCTTTGTATTTCTGTGTTGTCAGTTATTATTTCTCCTCTTTCATTTCTGATTTTGTGTATTTGGGTTCTCTCTCTTTGTTTCTTGGTGAGTCTAGCTAAGGGTCCATCAATCTTGTTTATCTTTTCAAAGAATCAGCTCTTTGTTTCATTGATCCTTTGAATTTTTTTTTTTTTTTTTTTTGGTCTCCATGTCATTTATTTCTGCTCTGATTTTTACTATATCCTTTCTACTACTTGCTCTGGGGTTTTCTTTTTGTTTGCTATCTAGTTCTTTAAGTTGTTAGGTGAGATAGTCTATTAGTAATTTTTCTTGCTTCTTGAGGTAGGCCTGTAGTGCTATGAACTTCCCTCTCAGAACTGCTTTTGCTGCATCCCATAGATTTTGTGTTGTTGTGTGTTCATTTTCATTGGTTTCTAGAAAGTTTCAATTTCTTCCTTGATCTTCATGGTAACCCATTCATTGTTCAATAACATGCTATTTAGCCTCCATGTTTTCAAATGTCTTTGCATGTTCTTGTTCCAGTTGATTTCTAGTTGCATGCCATTGTGATCTGAGAAGATGCTTGATATGATTTCAAAGTTGAACTTGTAGAGACTTAGTTTGTGCCCTAACATGTAGTCCATCTTTGAGAATGTCCCATGTGCACTTGAGAAGAATGTGAATTATGCAGTTTTGGGGTGTGATTCTCTGTAGATATCTATTAAAGCCATTTGATCTAGTGCTTCATTATGAGTCTGTGTTTCCTTGTTAATCTTTTGTCTAGAAGATCTATCCATTGATGTCAGGAAGGTGTTGAAATCCCCTGCTATAATTGTATTGCTGTTGATTTCTCCTTTGAAGTCCTCCAAAAGATTTTAATATATGTTGGTGCTCCTGTATTGGGTGCATATATGTTTACCAAGGTTATATCTTCCTGTTGGATAGATCCTTTCAATATTATGTAGTGGCCTTCTTTGTCTCTAGTTATGGTCTTCATTTTGAAATCTACTTTATCGGATATGAGTATTGCTACCCCAGCTTTTTTTTTGCTTTCCATTTGCTTGAAAGATTTTTTTCCATACCTTCACTTTCAACCTATGTGAGTCTTTTGTTGTGAGGTGGGTTTCTTGTAAACAACATATATGTGAGTCGTGCTTTCTTATTCAGTCAGCTACTCTGTGTCTTTTTATTGGAGTATTCAAACCATTCACATTTAAAGTGATAATTGATACGTATTATTTATTGCCATTTTCACTTAGTGTGGTTATATTTTTCTTCCTATTTCTTTTACTAATTATAGCAGTCTGTTTAGCATATCTTGCAGTGCTGGTTTGGTGTTAATATAGTCCCTTAGCCTTTTTTTTGTCTGGAAAGCTATTTGACCTTCTATTTTGAATGATAGCCTTGCTGGATACAGTAGTCTTGGATTCAGATCCTTGTTTTTCATGACCTTGATTACTTCATGTCACTCCCTTCTGGCCTGTAGTGTTTCTTGTGAGAAGTCAGCTGAGAGCCTTATGGGATTTTCTTTGTAGGTTACCTGTTGCTTATCTCTTGCTGCCTTTAGGATTCTCTTTTTGTCTTTGATTTTTGGCATTTTAATTACTATGTGTCTTGGTGTAGGCCTGTTTGGGTTCTTCTTACTTGGGGCTCTCTGTGCTTCTTGAACTTGAATGCCTTCTTCCTTCACCAAATTAGGGAGGTTTTCTGTCACTATTTCTTCAAATATATTCTCTAACCCTTGCCCATTTTCTTCCTCTTTGGGGACTCTTATGATGCGAATGTTATTATGTTTCCAGTTGTCCCACAGTTCTCTTAAGCTATCCCTGTTTTTTAATTGTTTTTTCCTTTTGGTTTTCTGATTGGTTGATTTTTTTCTACCCTGTCTTCTAATTCACTGATCCGGTCCTCAGCTTCCTCTACTCTGCTGGTTAGTCCATCCAATGTGTTCTTAATTTCTGCTATGTCGTTCTTCATTTCCAAGTGGTTGGTTTTCAATGTTTCTATATCTTTACTCATGGTGCTGATGTTCTTACTCATGCTGTTGAGCTTCCTCAAGATCATGGCTCTGAACTCTACCTCTAATAATTTGCTTAGCTGCATTTCATTTATTTCATCTTCGATAGAGTTCTCTTGTTATTTCATTTGGGATTTGTTTCTTTGTTTCACCATTTTGGCTATCTCAGTGGGTTTTGGAGCCTGCCAAATTTTCCCTGTGGGTGTTGGCGTTCTGCTGTTTGTGGCTCCCTCTACTGGGTTTGGATGAGCCTGGGTGGGCCCATGTCAAACCACTGTCAAGCCTTACTTTCCTGGGTAGATTTGCAAATCTACCCAGGAAAGGTTAAGTTATCCTCTAGCTTTTTCCTGGTGGCTAGTAGTCTGTTACTCAGTGCCTTGGAATGTAGCCCTGGTGTTCTGCATAAGAGGATTTCCAGAGGGTGAGATAGATGCTAGTTATTAATGAGCCTCAACTTGCATTTCTTTGCCTAACCTGGGAAAGGCTGAATCTCTGAGTGAGGGTAGGGGGTGCTGCTGCTTTTCCCCACAGCTCTGGGAAGGAGCACCCTGGCCACTGTTTTTTGTGGCTGCAACTCAACAAAAACTCTGAGTGCCCTCCAAATCCCTGGTGTCCCCACAGAGTTTTAGCCCAGTCTACCCTCCCTCTGCTGTGGCTCCCAGGTGAGTGGCTGTGGCTATTTTAGCACTCTGTCCCAGCTCTCTGTGCTGTGGAGTGGGCTTGGTCTTTATTCCCCAAGGGTCCTGCTCACAGCCAAGACTGCTGCTGTCCAGGGGCTCCCAGCCCGCCACCTTCTCATGCTTCTGCAGATTCTACCAGTGTCCCTGGTTATATGGTCCTGTCCTGCTGCTTTTCTGTTGCTTTTCCCCCGAGGATTTGTGTTTATTTTAGTTGTAATTACGGTTTGGTCCTGGGAGATTGTCTGCGTAGCTTCTATTCACTCCACCTCCATTTTCACATCCTCTATGCCTATCTTGTGCGCAGCTGGGTTGCACAGGCCTTTCTGGTGCCCCCGCACCCTGCAGGTCCTGAGGGTAACTGGATCGCACAGTCTCTTTGGGGACCCGGCTCTATGCCTATGTTATGGGCTGCTGGGTCAACAGGCTTCTCTGGTGCTTCAGCACACCACAGGCCCCGTGGGTAACTACATTGTGCAGTCCCAGCTGGGTTGCACAGGCCTCTCTGGTGCCCCTGCACCCTAAAGGTCCCATGGGCAGGCAGCTGGATTGCACCAGTCTCTCTCAGGCTCCGGCTTCCCACTGCTCTTGTGAACTGCTGGACCACACAGGCCTCTGTGGAGCTCCAGGTCCCACCGCTGGTGGCTGGGGAGTGCTGCTGCCCTGTGGGGCTCAACTCCTGCTCAGCTTTTGCTGTGGTTTTTGGGGATGGGTCTCAGCTGGTGGTCTGTGCTTCTGTTGCCTGGGGATGGATGTCTGCTCCCCAGCCTCTGTTGCTGGGGGTATATCTCGACTCTGATCAGGCTGCTACTGTGGGGGATGGTGCTGGGCTCCGGGCTGTCAGTGGCTTCCGCGACTGGTACCTTGGGAGCTCCACTACTGTGTACCAGTCTGCGTTGACACAGGGTGTCCACTGGTCTCATGGTGCCAGGTGCACTGGTGGGCTCAGGTTGCTGGGCCCTAGCAGCTCCCACTGCCTCCTCCCAGGGAAGACCGGGATCTTCCAAAATGGTTGGACCTCCCCGCGGTGCAGGGAGAAGCGCCCTGAAGGGCCGCTTAAGCCAGGGTAGCTGGCTGCTCCCATCCACAGCACAGGAACCTTCTGCTCTGCGGCTCTGCACTGCTCGGGTTTGGTTGTCCACCTTCACATCCACTCACACTCTCTCACACACTCACCCTCCCTCTGGTTCTGCCTGCCGCCATCTTCAAGGATAAAAATTTAATGTTGCTCCATTAAATATGATTTTTCAAAGGATTTTGTTGGATAGTTTTTTTTTTTATCTTCACCCAAGGACATTTTTTCATTTTTTGTTAAGATAGAGTGGGAAGGAAAGAGAAGGAGAGAGAGAGAGAGAGAGAGAGAGAGAGAGAGAGAGAGAGAGAAAGAGAGAAACATCGATGTGAAAGGTACACATTGAGTGGCTGCCACCCACAAGACCCAACCAGGGCCGGGGACAAACTGCAACCGAGGTATGTGCCCTCAGTGGGAACCGAACCCGGGTCTCTATAAACTGCAGGCCGACGCTCTAACTGCTGACCCAAACCGACCAGGGCTTGGTGGATAGTTTATACCAGGTTTAGGAAGTTCCATTCTATTTCTAGATACCTAAGAATTTTTATTTTTAATAATTGTGATTAAAAATTATTGTAAAATTTGAGATAATCATGTATATTTATAAAATTAATAATGAGGTAAATATTTAATATATCTTAATGTTGAAACATTTCTGAATTTTGGAGCTAAATCCAACTAGGGTATGACATATTGTTGCTATATATCACTTGATACAGTTTCTAGAATTAAAAAAATATATTAATATTATTATTATTTTATATAATGTGCTTACTTTCTGAATACATTTAAAAGGATAACTAATCCACCCGACCAGTGTGCCTCAGTGGTTGAGCGTCGATCCATGCACTAAGAGGTTGCTGGTTCAATTCCCAGTCAAGGCACATGCCCAGGTTGTGGGCCTGAACCCCACTGGGGGGCATGCAGGAGCTGGCCATTCGATGTTCTCTCTCATCGATGTTTCTATCTCTCTTTCCTTCTTTCTTCCTCTCTCTCTAAAATCAGTAAGGAAAAAAAATTTTTAGAGGATAACTAATCCTTTCAATGCAGAGGAAAAGAACAGATATTGCTCTAGCGCAGAGTCAAAGCCAAGGAAACTATAAAGCACACTTGGATGTTCACTGTGCAACAGTTTCTAGAACTTTTGTTTTGAATTTTCATATCTATGTTTATAAGCAATATTGCTCTGAGATATTTCTTTTTCATTTTGTTCTTGTTTGGTTTGAGTATCAAGGTTTTTCTAATCTCATAAAATGAATTAGTCATGTTCTCTTCTTATTTTCTGGGACAGTTTTCATGAGATTGGGATGATCTGTTCCTCGAATGCTTTGAAGAAACTGCTTATAAAACTGCTTATCAGAAAGAGTAGATTTTTAAACTTTTAAATTTCTCAAGTGGTTATAAAATTATTTAGCTTTTCAATTTCTTCTTGAGTCAGTTTCGGACAGATATATTTTCCAGGAATTTACCCATTCCATCTAAGTTTTTAAGTTTAGTAGCAAAAAGTTGTTCATACTTTATAGTTGTTTATAATTTAAATTTCTGTTTTTTTCTATTATTATGCATCTTTTTTTCACTTTTTATATTGCTAAGTTATGTCTTCTTTCTTATATATTGTATATGTACTTAATTTCTAAATTGTATTAATTCCTTCTGCTTTATTTGGATTTGTTCTATTATTCTTTCCTTCATGTCTAGTGTTGGCTGATTAGCTCAATCATTTCCAGCCTTTCTTCTTTTCTAATATTACCCTTTATGGCTATATGCCAGTCTTATGTCATGTTTCCTAGAAGTAGAGCCTAAGGGGGGGACTCTTGTGTACATGATTTATTGAAAGAGCTCTCAGAATAGGGGAGCTGAGAGAAGCTGGATAACGTAGAGGAAAGAGCTCAGAAAGAATGTGGTCCCTGGGCCTGATCCATGGGAGCTCTGGAGCATAAATGGCCACAGCATTGGTTCTGCCTTGAGGCAAATGGGCTGGAATTTGGCCCACTTCCTATTTGAGTCAAATATTGGCTATAGACTGCCGTGGAGTGGTAGGTAGGGGTATAATCTCCCAGGTCAGATGGTTCCCATGAATTGGGGACAGGTCTCTGGAGAAGGGCAGCCATGAACTGCTTGCAGGCAACACTCATAGAAGCTGGAGATGCACATGTTGACCTGTTAGAGGACTAATGACTAAACAAAAGGAATATGGTTGGGGCACCAACAGCAGCTACTACATCTATTAATATATTGCATTTTTATTATTTCATATTTGTAATATTTCATAATTTTATATAAATGTATTCTGTTATCTGTAACTAATTTAGAAATCTGTTTAAATAATGTATAAATTTGAGTTTTTTAGTTATCTTTTTGTTAACTAATCAAAAACATATTTATAAGTTAATTGTTTCATGTTAAGAGAAAATTAATGATACTCATTTTTGCCATTGGATGTGAATTAATCTGTGGTCAATTTTTGTAAATATTATATATGTTTCTGAGAAGAATAATGTTTCTTGTCCTTTTGCTGGATGCAAGGTTCTATTTTTATCTTTTATTTATTTATTTTTAATTTAAAAAATTTATTGGTTTAAGCCCTGGCTGGTTTTCTCAGTGATTAGAGCATCAGCTCATGCACTAAATGGTTGCAGGTATGATTCCTAGTCAAGGGCACAGACCTGGGTTGCAGGTTTGATACCTGCCCCAGGTCAGAGCACATGCAGGAGGCAACCAATCAATGTGTCTCTCTCACGTCGATGTTTCACTCTCTCTCTCTTCCCCTCCCTCTATCTAAAATAATCAGTGAAAAAATATCCTAAGGTGAGGTTTAACAACAATAAAAAATTATTGATTTGAGAGAGAGACAGAGAGAGAAAGAAACACCCATTGGTTGTTCCACATATTTATGCATTCATTGGTTGATTCTTGTATGTGCCCTGACCGGGGATCAAACCCACAACCTCGTCAGGCCAGTATGGCTTAGTGGATTGAGTGTCATCTCATGGACTGAGAGGTCCGGGTTCCATTCCTGGTCAGGGCACATGCCTGGGTTGTAGGCTCAATCCCCAGTAGGGGGCATGCAGGAGCAGCTGATGGATGTTTCTCTCATATAGATGTTCTATCTCACTCTCCCTTCCTCTCTCTCTAAAAAAATCAATAAAAACCCACAACCTTGGCGTATTGGGAGGATGCTCTAACCAACTGAACTACTCAGCCAGGGCCTGCCTTTTATTTTTATTATTATTTTTTCAGTCAGAAAAAGATAATTTAAAAAATTTAATTTTGCCCTGGCCAGTTTGGTTCAGCGGTTAGAGTGTCGGCCTGTGGTCCGGAGAGACCTGGGTTTGGTTCCCGCTAAGGGCACGTAATTCGGTTGCAGTTTGTCCCCGGCCATGGTTGGTCGTGCGGGTGGCAGCCACTCGATGTGTCCCTTCACATCGATGTTTCTCACTCTCTCTCCCTTCCTCTCTCTCCCTCCCACTCTATCTGTACAAAAAATGGAAAAATGTCCTCGGGTGAGGATAAAAAAAAAAAAATTAATTTTAATTTTAAAAATGATAACATATGCATATGAATTTTAGGCAATAGAGAAGAGTACCAAGTAGAAAGCAACAAGTCTCCCAATTGCCTCACCTCATGGTGAGCATAATTTCAGACATCTCTTTGCATTTTCATAAAATTTATTATATTTTTCATACATATGTATGTGTGTATTGGGTCATGATATACAATTTATTTCTTACTGTGAGTTGGAATATCAGTTATCTATTGCTGCATAACAATTACTTCAAAATTTACTTAAAACAATAAGCATTTGTTAACTCTCCATTTCTGAGGGTCAGGAATTCAGGAGCAGCTCAGTTAGATGGTTCTGGTTTAGGGTCTCTCATCAAATTGCAGTCAAGACGCCAGCCAGGGATACTGCAGTTATCTGAAAACTTCCCTGGGACTGGAGGATTGCTTCCAGGATGTCTCACTCACATGGCTAGAAAGTTGGTGCTGGCTATTGATTGAAGGCCTCAGTTCCTTGTTGTGTGACCTCTTTATAGGGTTGCTTGAATGTCCTTACAATATGGTTCTGGCTTCCCCCAAAGGAAGCAACTCAAGAGATCAAGGAAGAAATGGCGATGTCTTTTATGACCTAGCTTCAGAAATTACATACCATAACTTTTGTCATATTTAGTTGGTAATACAAACATTGATATAGTGTTGGAAAAGGCTGTACAGGGGTGTGAATACCAGAAGACAAGGCTTATTAGGGGCCTCTTGAAGGTGGCTGCCACAACTGGGGTAAAAAGTTTGAGAACCTGATTTGTCTAATCACCCTCTTTATTGCATAATCTCAAATTATTGCCAAATCCTGAAGACTGATCACTCGTATATAAGTTTTACTATTTAATTACAAGATACTTACAAAGTTAATGTGGCCTATAGTCAATGATTAATAAGTAGTTATTGAGGCCACTTACTATAAGCACATTATAATAAACATGACTTTTAGCCAGTCTTTCATACCTTGATTATTGTAGTAGTCTAATTGGTCTCCCTGTTTCTGTCCTTGCCCCTATGTCTCTTCACCACACAGCAGCCAGAAGAACCCATTCATTTTTTAAAAATATTTTTATTGATTTTTTTTAAACATTTAATTTTTTTCAAATTTATTTTTATTGTTGAATGTATTATAGATGTCCCCCGTTTTTCTCCCATTGACCCCCTCCTCCCCAATCCTGCCTTCCCCACACTATTGTCTGTGTCCATTGGTTTTGCATATTTGCATAGAAGTTCTTTGGTTTCTCTCTTCCTGCCCTCCCTCCCCCCTTCCCTTTGAGGATCATCAGTCTAACAACAAATTTGTACTTCTTAATTCCTTCATCTTTTTCACCCATCCTCCCAGCCCCCTCCCATCTGTCAAGCAACAAAAAGTTCTCCATATCAATGAGTCTGTTTCTGTTCTGCTTGCTCATTTTGTTTGTAGATTCAGTTGTTGATAGATATGTGTTAATTGCCATTTTATTGTTCATATTTTTGTTCTTGTTCTCCTTCAAGAAGACCCTTCACCATTTCATATAATACTGGTTTGGTGGTGATGAACTCCTTTAGTTTTTTCTTGTCTGGGAAATTCTTGATATGTCCATTGATTCTAAATGATAGCTTTGCAGGATAGAGCAATCTTGGTTGTAGGTTGTTGCTTTTCATCACTTTCATATTTCTTGCTACTCCTTTCTGGTCTGCAAAGTTTCCTTTGAGAAATCGGCTGACAGTCTTATGGGAGCTCCTTTGTAGGTAACTAACTGCTTTTCCCTTACTACTTTTAAGATTCTCTCTTTGTCTTTAACCTTTGGCATTTTGATGAGGATATATCTGGTGTGGACCTCTTGGGGTTCATATTGTTTGGGACTCTTTGTGTTTCCTGGACTTGTATGTCTGTTTCCTTCAGCAAGTTAGGGAAGTTTTCTGTCATTTTTTCAGATGGGTTTTCAATTTCTTGCTCTTTCATCCTTCTGGCGCCCTCACGATGCAAATGTTGGTACTCTTCAAGCTATTCCATAGGATCCTTACACTGTCCTCATTTTTTTTTTTTTCTGTTCTGATTGGGTGTTTTTTGCTTCCTTATATTCCAATTCGATGGTTTGCTTCTTGGCTTCACCTACTCTATTATTGATTCCCTGTAAATTATTCTTTATTTCAGTTAGTGCATCCTTCATTTCTGACTGGTCCTTTTTTTTTTTTTTTTTTTTTATGTTGTTGATGTTCTCCCTTGGAGGTCTCCTTAAGTTCCTTGAAGGTCTCACTAAGTTCCTTGAAGGTCTCACTAAATTCCTGGAGCACCCTTATAACCAGTATTCTGAACTCTGCATCTGATTGATTGCTTATCTCCATTTTGTTTAGTTCTTTTCCTGGAATTTTTTTCTGTTCTTTCACTTGGGACATGTTTCTTTGTCTCCTCATTTTGGCTGCTTCCCTGTGTTTGTTTCTATGTATTAGGTAGAGTTGCTATGTCTCCTAGGCTTCCTACAGTGGCCTGTTGTAGTAGGTGTCCTGTAGGGTCCAGTGGCAGAGTCTCCCTGATCACCCCAGCTGGGCCCTCAAGGTGCACCCCTAGTGTGGACTATACACCTTTCTGTTGTAATTGAGTTTTGA